ATGAGTCGAGGCAACACTGATCGATCTCGGACTATTCTCGATGGGGTTTATAAACGAAGCGCATTAAGGCGGACTAACCGCCGCTATTTAGCGCCGGAGGTAAACTCAAGCGCTAAGTAATTAATTTTTAAGTGAAGCTTGCGTAGGTTCTTCCCCTAGAAAATTTTCCGGGAGAACATTTCAGTACGGGTATTAATAGTGGATTCCATTTTGGTGCTTTCCAATGGAAGCGCGTGAATTAATAAGAGACATTAGACGCGCGCGAGATTGACATGCAACCATTATGCGCATCTCCATTTATATCGTCTGAATGGGGGATCCCCGAGGAAAGTTTCGCAGAGATATTTTTGTCCCTCGGAGCGCGGCGCGCGCGATGAAATTTTCGATTGTATATTTATAAAAAAATTCACCGAATTCGATTTTATTCGCATATTCAAAAGCGCCGCTGCGCGATACTAACCGCGAGCCTTCGCGTATTAAGCGGACCATGAGTAAATGAGATACCGAGCAACCGAATTAATCCTCCGCGTTTAAAACTTGCGAGGCAACTTGTATAAAAAGCGTGCAAAATGCACAGCGTGAAAAGGATAAAACTCGCGACTCGGTGTAACGCAACGCGGGACAGCTCGATGCGCATTTAATTAGCGGTGAATTTTTCTCCGCGTTTCCCTCTAACGAGCGTGCCGCATCGCGACGTTGCGTCGCGGCGTCGTAATTGAAAACGGAAGAGAGAAATGCGAGATGTATAACACAACGGCGTCGTGTCTAAGAGCGGGGAGCAAAAAGTATCCATTATACCGGCCGCTCGTCGAGGACGCTCGCGGATATCCGGCTTTCGTTAACCGTTCGCGACTCGATTTGCTCGGATACGTGTCACTCGTGTAAATATCGCGGGGAAATCGAATTTACCCGTCCGGGCGGCGTATGTCCGCGGTTAAACGAGGACATTGCGAATTTCCGCCATTCATTAGGCAGCCGTTCAACCTTATCTCCCGCTTACGTATTATTGCAGTTATTGAATACATATTTCGATCTCTCGTAAGCGCCGCGCGCTCGCTCCTCATTAATTCACACTCGTATATAGTACGAATAAAATTCCACGATGACAATTGCAATCCTAAATTCGTAATTACGTTTTTCTTATCAGATATATCGATGTACGTCTGATAACGCGCTTCACTCGGATACCGAACATCGCAAACGGGAGACACACGATTGTCCGATATCATCGGGCGATCATAGAGGAGAGATTTACTCATAGCATTTTCCAGGGATAAGAAAATATACGTGTCGAATAATTATTTTTACAACTGTAAGGGCCACCGTTTCTTTGCTTTCGCCTGTGCCTCATTTCCGTTTACAGTGCCACGTCTAGATTGAATGGAACGCAAATTCCACTTGTCGCATTCATGCCGGTAATTATTCAGCGCGTCACTGCAAAATTTCCGAGTGGGAGACGTTCCGTGTGCCGTTCTTTCTTTTTATTTTTTAAGGACAGACTCGCATTCTCGTCGCAGGACGCAACCTGCGACTCCAAGCATCGCGTCCTCGCATTTTTTCCACGTCTCCGGGAATCCGGTAAAAACCAACCTGGTTGCTCCAGCGCGGAGTCCGTCCTGGGTCATCCAGAGAGAGAGAAAGAGAGAGAGATAGAGAGAGATAGAGAAAGAGAGAGAGAGAGACAGAGAGAGGGGGGGGAGAGAAAGAGAGAGCTCTTCCGGGCGGATCGAAACGCACAGCTGCAGCTTCTACGGTGCGGGATACCGGCGCCGCGCCGCCCTTCTTCACCTCGGGGTGGCTCGCAGCTCGATAGAAGCGAAACAACTCCTTCGGCACTGCACACCGCCGGCGGTAATAATACGCGACGAGAGCCGGAACGCCTCGTGTACCGGCGATCACAGATCGCGCGGATCCATGCGACACTCTCCGCGGAGGCGTCGCGACGCTCACTGCGGAGACTCCGCCGCGTACCCGCCCTTATAGCATCGTGTTGCGCTCACACTGCGCCCCCTGCGTCCCCCCGAGCCACCCTTCCACCTTCCTAGTCCTCCGCCACCGCACCACCGCCGCCGCCGCCGCCGCCGCCGCACTGCCACCCTCCCCACGTGCCCCTCTCCGACGCCTCGCGCAATCCCCCCAACCCTCCAACCCCAACCCTCTCGCGAACCCACCTTACGGGATAACGCGAGCGCTCGCGTTCGAGGGACCGACCGATGCATTCTTCGGGGATGCTTCGTCGCCTGGCGCAGCCAGGCCTCAGGTAGGAGGATACGGCGCTCCTCCTGCGCGCTTCTTCGGTTACTCAATCCTTTGTTTGCGATTGCATTAAAGCGGAAAAATACGCTTCGCCGTGTCCCGCGCTCGCGACGTGCCACTTTATCATCGTCCCGTGCACAGACGATACTTCTCAAGGATATGCGTATCAAAGGTCTGACGGTACTTTGACGACTGGACCTTTGATGACGTAAACTGTGCGCGTCGACATTGGCGAACACAGACCGGCGAGGACTATTGGAAAAAATGAACGCGACGGAAAGGCCCTACGACCAGGGCGCCCAAGAGACTTTCTTTCTTTTATTATTTTATTTACGACACTCGGCGCTAAATTAACATTAACGCGGCGGCTCCGGCACTTATAAATTTCACGCTTCGTCCTCGCAAACGGCCGAGTCATAAAGCCCTTCCGGAAATATTGTAACGCGGTACACGTCAGCCACGTGCCTCAGAAATGGCCGAGATATTTGCGCGAGTTTCTTTTTCACCCCCAGCATTTTTATATAGGATCAATTTAAGAGCGTGCAACGCATTTCCACCCCGTGGAGGCAATTAAATTAAAAGTCCCACGTATCAAGACAAGTAATTTCTGCTTTTACGGCACGTTCGGGCGGACTCGCGTATCAGTTTACGGAACAATGCAGCTGCTGAAGGGATAAAAGTGCCTCTACCTCAGAGTTTCGGCGCTAACAAAGTTATTTACCGCGTCAGGCGCAAATGCCAATTTAAGAGGTAACCGCTATAATGACGCTGAAGTCAAACCGGCGAGCTGATAAGATTTAACTTGTTGAGCGCCGCGACAGACATCGGGCGTACTTGGTACCTAGCGAGAAAATACATCCCCGTGCAACAAGAAACTTTAACTCTGGAAATGGTTCGGAGCATTTCTGGATGTCGGCGAGTTAATTCCGACATTTACATTCGCGTCGCTCTCCTCGATCGATGAAACGCTGATTTCTCGACGGTGACAAGTTTGACAACGGAGACGCGTTCCTTGCCGCGCGACGTAAAGTTCTGCCTTCGCGAATTAAAAATTACGAAATGGAGTACAAATGCAATTGAATTGTCTCAATGTCGCAAACTTTCGCTGTCGAAAATTATCATTTCTTTCAATAGCCTTCCGTTTCTCAGTTAAATAATAGATAACGACCCCTTCAGTGCGCAATAATAACAAATCAACTTATTTCTGGTGTGTGTAAACGAACAGTAACATTTCATGCGCTTGCTAAACTTTTATTATTATCTCTACTTGAAACTTCCTTTTGTTATACCCGTGTAAAATCTCTTCCCCCAAAAATAATACTGAACGTTTACACAGCAAAGGTTCATACAGCACGTAAGTTACATAATTTATATATATATTTGATTTTCTAAGGAAGGTTCGCTTTCCTTTTAAAAACCTCTTCTACTTCTTTATTTCTAGCATGTCTAATGTTTCCGTGACAAACGAACGCCATAATAACATTATGAGACTGATGTTACATTCAACTCTCTTTTACGACGAAACATATACTTGTACGACACGTGCTGTCGCTCTAGAAAATTGCGATCCTGAGTAAGGTCGACACGCATCGCATTCAGCGGGATGCTCGTAAAATCCTTATCTATTTAATACCTAAAAAGATGAAGATATGTGTCGCAACGCGATGTTGAAAATAACAGAACATCCGTTCGCGACGTAAGTTATGCGTTCAGATAACGCATTGCCGTTTAATCTTCCAATACGTTTGAATTATACGTATTCGCTAGAAATAAATTGATTACGACTTACCTCAAAAACAGAATTGCGTCGTTAATGTACACTTTTTGCAGATACTATATCTATCTTCCTGACACAACCCGTATTTTCGACCGTCAGTCTGCAGCATCATTAATTTATCTATCGTAGGGACACACGTATCACGGTATCCAAACTCATCAGGGGAGGAAAAACTCAAGGGTCAGGGCTCAAAGAAGTGTTTCTTTCGAGGGTCAGGCTTCTTCATTCGTGACACGACCTTAACTATTTCTGTCAGGCAACCAATTGGTTATCCAGCTACGCTTCACCTGAACATCTCTTTTATGCTTTCTTTTGTTGATGAGTTATGAAATATTTAATGTAAGATTCTTGAGCAATAAGAAAACAGATTCTACCGTTATTCAAGAAACTTGTATCATAATTACATTAAAATTGGTACACAATATTCGCGGCATTTCGAAAAATATTCACTTTAAAAAACAAGAAAATAACCATTTCTACCAGCGCAGATCAACTTTAGTCCCGGTTCAACTCAGATACTTTGTATCTTTTTACAATTCTTGAAACTAGAAAATAATAACAAGTAAGTTACACCGAGATCAAAGTTAATCTGCATTGACAGAAATGGACATAAAAAAGATAAAATGCTTACAAAAATTAATCAAATAATTCTTTCTAATTTGACACCTTAAAATAAATTTTGTCTAAAGTTTCACTTCATAACTCGCCTAATACTGTATTCGACTCTGTTCCCGTAACAGGTTTTACTTTTCAGTGGTATACAAAGTGATATGTGTACCAAGAAAGAATAAACCCCCAACATATGATTTCCGCCTCATTGGCGAGGAAAAAGAACGCGCGGGTCGTACCCTTAAAGAGCTATCTTTTCGGCGATCCACGAGTCAGCCCTTCAGTTTCCAGTCGAGAGGATAACATCGGAGTGACCCTGCGGCCATTCCTGAGGATGCGGGACGAGATTTAACGGGGCTAATGCGAAATATCTTGTTTATTCGACAACAGTTTCGCCTCCTCCGGCGTGGAAGCGCGACTATGAAATTATTGTACAAAAATTATTGTGCTCCGCTGTACACACGTATGCCCTGGTAACTATTCACAGCTCGTTCAAATGTTATGTACTAGAAGACTCTTATGAAACATAATGGTATATCTTCAAAAAATTCGCGAACCCTCTCGGTTTCGCTTCGACGTTCACTCGCGACGCGTTACTCGCGAAGTTACGTGTAAGGCACCTTTGTATTATTGAATTTTCAGACCGATGTAAATCACCAAATAATAATTAAACGACAAGACGATGACTCAAAGAATCCCCCCCCCCCTCCTTCTCGTCAAAGATACAAGCCGGAAGCTACACGAATCTGCGATCGATGAAATCGACAGTTTCGCAGAAAAGCGACGAGTCTGTCGTGAGTTTCCCTTCGGGGAGTTTCTTTCCCCCCCCCCCCTTCTTTACATTTTCATCCTTTTTAGCTCCCTTACACCACGGAATAGTCCTCGAGCAGAGTCTCGCCAAAATGAGTTACAACGTAATCGTGATAATACATCATTATACAAAGTGGTTGCCCGATGATGAGGCTCGCCCATACGACGATGTTGCCCCATCTGGCGCCGCAGTATCGCTCTGCCATCTTGCTCAGCACCGACAGTGGTATCTAGAATGAACAATTAGCGTTGCACGACCGGAATTTCCGTACTTAGGGACGGACAGGGTGGATCTCGTACGTGCGCGCAAGATGTAGTGCGCCACGTAACTTCATGTAAAGCATAGCAAATGATGTTGCAACGTCTGAAATCCCGGAGTATGACAAAATCTGCATGACGATTAAAGGCACGCCAACTGACATCTGTTAAGAGCGGCTAACCCGCGTTAACCCTCCACTAGTCGCTCTACTTTTCACCCGTGAACGATCGCAATGTATCTCACAGTTACGCCAACTTTCCCATTATTTTCCTCTGCTTCTTGAAACCATTTTTCCCTCACCGACACTTGGCTAATAGACCAGGTACGTAAAAAAAAACATTGAACAAATTGACAAGTATTAAAATGGATTTAAAAAAAGCGAAAAAGCTGAAGTGTTGCTATAGCAACGACGATACAATGGCCGCGTTTAGCGGAAATACCTACGTTAAAACAGTTGTAAAAATTCGTAAATTTAATTGGAGTATGCTCTTCGAGTCTGCCATAATTATAAGCATACGCCAATCTGATTCAAGATTTTTACGACAGTTGGAAAGCAACTTTTTCCGCTGAACGCGGCCATCGTAGCCTGAACGTGTATCTATTGGATATTGCGATTAACGGAGGGTCAACCCTAGCGCTTTTGCACATGTTCTTTGTCCGATTACGTTTAATTTGCTCGGAATTTTGAGCTCTCTCGATCGTATTCTTTCATTTTATTTTCCAGGATCAACGACGATCATAAGAAATATTATTCAAACTGCCCAAAGTCGTATAGTCTTTGAAAGATCACGAATTCCTTGACACTAGAGTCAA